ATGAATAAAATGATCACTATAACTTTTTTAGCATATACGTATAGTTTTATTTAAAAATATAGATGGAGATAAACTATCTATATATTAATAGGCTAGCGTTACCCGCGGCTCCGCCCGCGTTCAAATGAGAAAAACCTAATTCTTAGGTTTTACATAATAGTACACTCTTACATTGCAGTTTTTGTATTTTTTCTCACAAATGAGATATTTTCCCGCGATAAAAAGTAACCTATATGTTGACCCGGATAACCAGCTATCACCATACTAAATTTCATCAAAATCCCTCTAGTGGTTTTTCCGTGATGCGGTAACAAACAGATAGGCAGAAAGACAGACAGACAGACAGAAATTATAAAAACTATAGATTCGGCCTCTGTATCGATAATAATGTTTATTTCAATAAGGTTTTCCAAAAAACATCTAATGTACAGATTAGGCTTAGTTACAATTTTATTATATGTATAGATGACATTTATAAACGTTTAAGGCTTTCTTTGTTTGCACCTTTAATTTTTTTTTTTTAATTTTAGTAGTTTTCAACTTCAATAAAATTATTATAAAGTTTACTTTTAATAACGTGATATAAATTCTCAAGTAATATAAGTAGGAACAAACTCGGTAAAGTTTGCTAATTCTTCGAGAGAGTGTATGTTTCATTTTAGTATTGATCAGCGGTTTGTTAACTTCATGTTTAAAATTCACTGGGCAGAATATATATAATACTAGCGACTTAACCTCGCGCCACCATGGTGCTTTCCTGGATTATGGCCTTTTCGGATTATGGCCTGATTTCCCTCGTACTAAAGGGAGGCCCATGCCCAGCAGTGGGACGTTAAAAAGGGCTGAATACATACTCTCATATGCACTTAGTAAAAAGCTTTTATTTTGACATCAAACGAAGCGAGAGTGAGCCGCTAGTAATATATAAAAATAATACATCCAAATTGTTATTTCTTTGTATATTACATACCAATGTACATCTGTAAACATGTATCTGTATGAACTATACATTGGAAACTCAAAGCTCACCTGTGCTACTAATATGGTATATTATGGTATTTAAACAGGACAACTTTAATTTTTACTTGTAATCTTACTTAGGTATAAATATTTACTTGGACATGACGGTCGTGCTTTAATTTTGTAACTACCTATTTATATAGATAACTGAATAGTTAATAAAAAAGTAAGCTTAAAAATAATATTAAAACTAGAGACAAGCCACTTTTCGCACGTTCAGAATAATAAATATTAGTGATTGGCGGAACCCTTACGTAACGGGTTGCCTTTGTACCTCTTCATTGAGCGACCAATTAAAATGTGCATGCCAAATTCCAATTAGTTAATAAACAAACTTATTTTCATATAATATTAGTGAAGATAATGAATTTCTGTATATTATTATATACATATTTCACGTCGAAACGGAGAGACGGATTTTCGTCATTTTTTGTATATATACATAGACTACTTTTTACCGCGGGAGATTAATCTAATTCTCACGGGAAAATACGTTATAATACAATCCAAAAAAATATTTATGATCAGAATTACTTGAAATTCAGTATGAATGCTCTTCAATAAAATTAAATAAATACGTGTTTTAGCATTTTTCGAAATTCATTCTATAAGGGGTAAAATAGGGCTTGAAAGTTTGTATGAAACTACCCTTTTAAATATTTTTGTAGTTTTAGCGCGAGCAAAGCCGCGAGTTCTGCTAGTATATATATATATATATATATATATATATATATATATATATATATATACATATACATATATATTTATATATATGTATTAATGTCTATTAAAATTAAAGATAGTAGTATTAAGTTCAAAGGCAAATATTTCAACCATCTTATCTTCAGCTTAAAGTGACAGGACTTCTAATGAATATATTTCCATAAAACCCTAGTTTCCATAAGCCTATTCGCCCAATAAGAGTATAAGTAAGTATACTGCTGTATATAAAGCTATGTAGGTTCTAACGCACAGTTAAATGATAAAAACGAAGTTTTAGTAATAATAAATATGGTTTTATAAAAGAAAAGGTTGCATATTACAAATATACCCCTCATATTACTATAGACTAGCGGCTCACGCTCGCTTCGCTCGGGTTCGCCTCTAGGGAAACAATCCTATCCCACGGAAACAGTATATTTTTCCGGGATAAAAAGTAGCTTATGTGTTATTCCAGACTATAATCTAACTCTATGCCAAATTTCATCCAGATCCGTTCAGCCGTTCTGGCGTTTTCACGCCAATATGAGTAACAAACATCCATATTATATTGACGACAACGTTTGGCTCAGTTCATAGTGATCCTACTTGCTGTGCCAGCGATCGCGGATTCGAGTCCCGCTGGGGGCATTCATTTGTGTAGCACGAATGTTTGTACTCCAGTCATGGGTGTTTATATTTATAATATATATGTATGTATTTAAAGTTACTTATGTGCAACTATCTGGTATTAATATAATCAACTATCTGGTATCCATAACACAAGCCTCGTAGCTGATCATGGAACTAGATGGTGCTGTGGGAAATGTCCCAACATATTTATTTATTTATATTCACAAACTTTCACATTTATAATAATAATACGGATTCAGACAAGTACAAAATTTATTGGGACCGAACCATAATAACAGACAAGACTATTTATTGCAATAGACCTAACATAACATTATGGTAGGGGAGCCTGGGATTCTTTCGCAGTTACTAAAGCGTCATAGGTACCTATTCGATTGTGAAAATTAGGTTCTAAAACGAAAAAAGCTTTCCATTCTAGAAGGCGTGTACAAATTTTCAAAAATGTAAAAAAAACAGTCACATGGAAATACTCGGCTCCCCTATTATTAGATGTTAAACATGCTAAAACTGTCTACCTTATTGATATAGCCGTACTACTAAGTACTTACTCATAACCTGCAAACAACTTACACCGAAAAATTGACCAAATATAAGGAGTTGGAAAATAAAGCGCAATGGCGAGTCAACATATTGAAAACTTAGCAGAAAGCTGCCATACTCAACACCTGTAGAAAAGTTCGCAAATTTTTATCCATTTCCATATGATACTATCTACATTACATCATTTTACGTTTGGGCAAAAGCCAGCGTTAATGATTTAAGCAACATATTTATTTTTTAAAATATAATTATATTTTTTTTAATAAATTTGGTATATGAATAGAATTAAAAATAAATTCAGGAAACGTTTTCAAGCATTTACTAATGGAAAAAGCTTTTTTCAATGAAATTGCCTGGCCAACAAGAGCTTTTTAATAATGAAGAGTTGTTATTACAACTCTTTATCAATAAAAAGCTTTTATTAATGAAGATCTTTTTTCTTCTTATCGTGAGCTTTGCAGCATGCAAAAATTCAATTTCAATAATTATTAAATTATTACATTTAAAAAATTAGTAAATATAATAATTATGAGAAGAAAAAAGAAGAATTAGAATTCCGGTACAAAAAGATGTATTGGCCGTTGGTACATTATGCACATCCATACATCTATCCATATATAATATGTACATTGTACATCCATACAAACAACCTCACAAATTCTCACAAAATTTCGCGTTCATAATATTAGTAAGATAAGATCCCTATTAATTAGGTATGTTTTAACAAGAAAAACATAAATTATACCACAGAATTTTATTCAACAATTAATTCGACTCAACGTAAATTAAGAAACATATCTAGAGAGTAGTGGTTGCAATTTTTCTCACGAATCCAAGTTACATTACTTAAAACATTTCCAGCATAAATAAGTTATTCATAGTACTTACTGCGTACAGTTAGTCTGAATTTTTTTATTATATTTGTAACTTAGAAATTAGAAAGCTAAGACTACTTCCAAATTTTACGTATATAATGTAAATAGTCCCCAAGTTAAACGGTTTTACATTCGAAGTGACAGAGGACATGACCCGTATAAGTTAGGGTAGACCGGAGACAATAGTAACAATTTTTACTTAAACTTCGATTGTGAGGACACATTTTGGATTTAAGAAACGCAAACTGTAAATTAAGAAACTTAACTTCCTTACCTACAGGATTTAGGAGCCAACATGTATTCAAATCGACTAAAACATGGAAACTTTTAATCTTAAAGTGAACACTGAACAGTGTTACAATTGACTCCTACACAGGGTCATTTGTAACACATATTTAATTCAAAATAATCAAAAAATCAGTCTTTTTTATTAAATAATAAAAAGTATGACTCTTCTTTGGCACACTTTTTTATAAGGCACTAGAATATTGTAAAAATTATAGACAAAATTAACACAGAAACTTAACTTAACAGTCCGTCTTTTTGGTAAAATCAAACAAAATAACATAATTCTTATATTACTGAAGTAACTCTGTTTGTCTCATCACAGTAGCATAGCATCTAACAAAAAAAACTTATAATTTAAAGTCGTAATCAACCACAAATATTCTGTATACAAATCAACCATGCTACAATTGCCCCGTGGTACAATTGACCCATTATAGGTATTATTTTTACCCGACTGCGGCAAAGTCAATATAGGTAGGATATGTTTATTAATTATAACAATATCTGAAAACTTTAATAACATTACGAAAATTAGTCAAATCAATAAATTTTAACAAAAATGTTTTTGCTAATAAAATGCTTTGCATTCTTAAAAAATTACATTAGGTACGCTCTACGTTCTAAAGTGGTTCTAATCTATATGGATTGTAATTCGTATGTTTAAGCTAAGGCTCGGAATAATAAATTATTTATTTCAGTGCATTTAATGAGACAATCGAAAATTATAATTGAAGTTCAGAATCGTAGTTTAGATAATAATATACTTATTTACAATTCATATAGATTACTATACTTTATAACGTAAAGAGTTTTATATATATATAACTCGGGATTTCGCTTTATGAATGAAGAAAAGCAATCTGCTCCTGCAGTTTTATCGCGATCCCATTGATTGAGAGATTGAGGCCTTTTTAAATTATTCTACACTGTTAAATCGTATGCCAAACGACGCACTTGTTTTGGTGATAAGCCGTAATGAATATCAGCTGTTTGTATCAGGTAATTTACTATTTCTGCTTCTTGGTCATCATTAAAAATTTTCGTAGCTGGATTATATCCCATCAAAATTGCTTCATTTTCTAAAGCGTTTTCCTTTTTGCGCTTGTACCTCATATGTGAATCGTGACATAAATCAAACATTTTGGTTGCACTTCTAAAATTGACCTTCCATTCAGTAATTCTACGTATGCTTGCTCGTAAAGAATAAGATCCCTAGGTCCTCGATCTGTTGTTTTGTTTCGATGTCTTAGCATCTGTAAATATTAAAAAACAAATAAGGAAATTGGTATTATTATAGATACTTACTACAACATTTTTAAAAACAGCTAATTGAAAGTGACTATAATAGATATACATATATCGCTAAAAGCTAACTTTTAATGAGATTTTGAACGACTGTTATGATTTTATCATAAGACATGACGTAACTGTTATATAACAAAGAATAAAAACGACGCACATGCATTGCACAAATGAACTAAAATCTCTTACAAATAATTCTTAGATTCTCTAAAACAAACGGGGGCATTTGTACCACGGGGTCAATTATAATGTTACAACCGACCCCGGTAAAACTGTTACAATTGTACCTGGGTAGCCATATTGGAGAAATTGTAAAAAAAATCTGTCATGGAAACGAAATAAATGGTCAAAAGATATCCTATTAGATTCTCTAATCTATAATAAAACATGTGGTAAATAGAACTGTTTGAAACATGCACTATTTAGAAAGTGATGAAACAATGAATTAGCCTAGTAATACTTACGGCGGATTCTTCGAATTTGAATTAAGCGTAGCACACGTCCAACTCACACTGCGCTCGCGGCTGCTGGCGAACAAGTCCGTAATCGAATAAACCATCGCCACTCGGAATCACACATTAATCCGTTGCTTAGTTACCGAAATATTGCCAATGTTACTATTGCCCCGCGTTAAAATTGTCCCCGGTCTACCCAACTTTTTTCTATTTGGCTAAGGAACCTTAAAAAATAATAAAATACATACTTTTTTAAGCAATAAGTAGTAAGTTTTCTACCTATGTGAAGTTAGAAACTGACTAAACAATAATTAGTTTTTATCAATTCTATTCGATTGTACTACGTTTGTACCGGATTGTACCGCTTTTTAAATCGTTTGTACCTCAAAGGGGTGAGCAATATGGGGGTTCGAATATATATATGGTTCACAGCCAACCTAAAAATATGACGTTTTTGTTGATGCCAATTGGAAGCATATCGTTTGTACTGGATTGTACCGCCCTTAAAATCGTTTGTACCTCAAAGGGGTGAGAAATATAGGGGTGCGAAAATATATATGGTTCACAGCCAACCTAAAAATACGACATTTTTGTTGATGCCAATTGGAAGCATACAGTTTGTACTGGATTGTACCGCTCTTAAAATCGTTTGTATCTCTAAGGGGTGAGAAATATAGGGGTGCGAAAATATGTATCGTTCACAGCCAATCTAAAAATACGACATGTTTGTTGAAGCCAACTGGAAGTATATCGTTTGTAAAGGATTATAGGATTATTAGAACTGAAAAAATATACAAAAATAAAAAAAATATCATGTTTATAAATATATGTACATCATTTTTTTTCCCTACAAAAAATCTCTGCGGTATAAACGGGTACAAACGATGACAAGCCGAGAACTTATTGTAACGTTCACTTAGCGTATGTATAATGATAATAGAAACGAAATTCTCGGGGGTACAAACGGTGAGAAGCCGAGAACTTATTGTAAAATTCAATTAGTTAAATTCTCGGCGGTACAAACGGGTACAAACGATGAGAAGCTGAGAACTTATCGTAAAAATCAATTAGCACGTGTATAATGATGATACAAACCAAATTCTCCACGGTACAAACGGGTACAAACGATGAGAAGCCGAGAACTTATTGAAAAATTCAATTAGCGCATGTATAATAATGATAGAAGCGAAATTCTCGCCGGTACAAACGGGTAAAAAGATGAGAAGCTGAGAACTTATCGTAAAAATCAATTAGCACGTGTATAATGATAATACAAACCAAATTCTCCACGGTACAAACGGGTACAAACGATGAGAAGCTGAGAACTTATTGTAAAATTCAATTAGCGCATGTATAATGATAATAGAAACGAAATTCTCGGGGGTACAAACGGGTACAAACGATGAGAAGCTGAGAACTTATCGTAAAAATCAATTAACACGTGTATAATGATGATACAAACCAAATTCTCCACGGTACAAACGGGTACAAACGATGAGAAGCCGAGAACTTATTGTAAAATTCAATTAGCGCATGTATAATAATGATAGAAACGAAATTCTCGGCGGTACAAACGGGTACAAACGATGAGAAGCTGAGAACTTATCGTAAAAATCAATTAGCACGTGTATAATGATGATACAAACCAAATTCTCCACGGTACAAACGGGTACAAAAGATGAGAAGCCGAGAACTTATTGTAACATTCAATTAGCGCATGTATAATAATGATAGAAATGAAATTCTCGGCGGTACAAACGGGTACAAACGATGAGAAGCTGAGAACTTATAGTAACGTTCAATTAGCGTATGTATAATGATAATAGAAACGAAATTCTCGGGGGTACAAACGGGTACAAACGGTGAGAAGCCGTGAACTTATTGTAAAATTCAATTAGCGCATGTATAATAATGATAGAAACGAAATTCTCGGCGGTACAAACGGGTACAAACGATGAGAAGCTGAGAACTTATCGTAAAAATCAATTAGCACGTGTGTAATGATGATACAAACCAAATTCTCCACGGTACAAATGGGTACAAACGATGAGAAGCCGAGAACTTATTGTAAAATTCAATTAGCGCATGTATAATAATGATAGAAACGAAATTCTCGGCGGTACAAACGGGTACAAACGATGAGAAGCTGAGAACTTATCGTAAAAATCAATTAGCACGTGTATAATGATGATACAAACCAAATTCTCCACGGTACAAACGGGTACAAACGATGAGAAGCCGAGAACTTATTGTAAAATTTAATTAGCGCATGTATAATTATGATAGAAACGCAATTCTCGGCGGTACAAACGGGTACAAACGATGAGAAGCTGAGAACTTATCGTAAAAACCAATTAGCACGTGTGTAATGATGATACAAACCAAATTCTCCACGGTACTAACGGGTACAAACGATGAGAAGCCGAGAACTTATTGTAACATTCAATTAGCGTATGATTTATTTATTTATTTATTTTTTTTTATTTTTTTTTATTTTTTTTTATTTTATTTGGTAATCAAACAGCGTTACAGTATTACTTAAGATTGCACATTGTACACAAAGGAGAGTTACAATAAGGCCAAAATTAGATTACACTAAAAATACTATAATAATGAACAACAGGCATCAAAATGGTAAAATAAAATGTAGATATTCAAAAGATGTTTTAGATCTAAAGATAATATCTATTATGTTGGTGCAAAGGTAAAAATATAAAGGTGTATGTGTGCGTGTGTGCTTGTGTGTGTGTGTGTGTATGTGTGTGTGTATTGTGTGAAGTTGAGTGTGTATGCTCAAATAATAAATTCTATTATTATTACTTAAAATAAACAAATCAATGACTGCTCACGTATTATGACTTAATGGCTATACTTCTTTTTTTTATCTCTTTTTTAAAGACTACTTCAGATAACTTAAATATATCCAAATCAGAGTATTGTTCATTATAAATTTTAACTGATCGCGTTAAGATGGAATTTTTGGCATATTGGGTTTTAGTAGGAGGTACATATAGCAAGGGTGTATGGCGCGTTCGCTGCTTTGGAACCTGAAAGGATATGTTTGATAGAAGTTCAGGGCAATCAATCTTATTGTTTAATATTGCGTGCAGCAGTTTCATATCGCTTTGTGCTCGTCTACTTTCGAGTGTTTCTATATGATAATATTCATATGCATCACGATCTGTATCAAAATTTTTATAGTTTTTAAATTGTAAGTATTTTACAAATACATTTTGAATTTTTTCGATTCTCTGTATATCTGATTTATGATAAGGTGACCAAATACTACTGGCATATTCTAGTAGACTTCGTATGTATGCAAAATAAAGCATTTTGATACATTCTATATTTTTAAAACTAGAGGTTGCACGCTTAATAAACCCGAGTTGTTTATAAGCCTTGTTGATTATAATTTCATAATGTTCGCTAAATGTTAATTTTTGGTCTAATGTAATACCTAAATCCTTCACTGATGAGACCTTGCCAATTGTTGCTCCGTTAATACTGTAAGTGTGGTCAATAGGTTTAAGTTTTCGGGTAAACGTAATATGATGACATTTATTAATATTTATCGTTATTCTATTTGTCTCATAGTAGGTAGCTAGCCTATCTAAGTCTGCTTGTACTTTTTTGCAATCTTCAATAGTACGAACTCTGAGGAATATTTTCTTGTCATCAGCAAACATCAGGAAGCGAGAGTGCTTAAAGCAGTTACTTATGTCAAATAAGTATGCGTTATATAAAAGAGGTCCCAAGATAGAGCCTTGAGGTACTCCCGATGATATATTTAAGAAGTTACTCCTAGCACTTCCCATTTTAACTGCCTGCATTCTATTTTTAACGTATGACGAAAACCATCTTAACAGATTTCCATGTATACCCAGAAGATCAAGTTACATGATCAACTCGATCGAAAGCTTTTTCGAAATCAGTGTAGATTACGTCAACTTGATCTTTTTCATCCATGACTTTAAGGACGTAATCAGTGAAAACTCCTAAATTCGACACTGTAGAGCGTCTTTGCATAAATCCATGTTGTTCGATAGGAATGCATTTTTTAATATTAAAATTAATTTTATCACGTATTATTTTCTCAAATATTTTGCTCATGACATTTAATATAGAAATAGGTCGATAATTTGTTATTAAAGATTTTGATCCACTTTTATGAATTGGAACTACTAATGCTTCTTTCCATTTTGTAGGAAAGCAACCAAAAGTATTTATAGATAAATTAAAAATAATTGTAAGGGGTCTAGCCATGCTTTTTGCACATTTTTTAAGAAATATAGGCGGTATGTTATCGCTTCCAGGGCCTTTACTTACGTTAAGCATTGTTAATTGTTTCAAGACAGTACATTCAGTTATGATGAACCCAGAAAT